GTGGTTGTCCTTCAGCTATTTCAATAGCCGTTATTCCTAATGATCATATATTGTTCTATTTACAAACAATTTATTTATATAAAATAATAATAAACAAAAAAATACTCTATTATCATATGTTGCTTGACGATTTTCATCACAAGCAATAACGTCAGGTATCATCCTATTTAAACAAAAATAAATAATTAAATAAAAACTTAGTATTAATACCAATAAGGCGTTCCAATAAAAGTATTTCTTCGTCCAATTGTTTGATCTAATTGAGCTGATACACCAAAATCAACTAATTTAACTCCAGCATTTGCATTTAACAAAACATTCTTTAGTAAAATAAATAAATTTATTATTTAAATAAAAAAAAACATCAAACCTGTTCTTTAATATCTCTATGAATAATTTTATTTGAATGAAGATAATTTAAACCATTTGAAATTTCTTTACTAATATAGGATATCCATTCTTCTGTTAATGAATTTCCTTTTGTTGATTTAAGTAAATCACTTATTGATTCTGCACCACAATATTCCATAATCGACTTTAAAACAAAAAAAAAAAATAAACATTCCATTTATAAAAATTTAAAATAATAATAACCCATAATTGATCATATTCATTTCGTTCTGAAAAAGATTTATTTATAAATGCTTCATAATACATGGTTATATTGCAATTATTTGAATATTTACGAAAAGACAAAGAAGAATTTTTATTCAATTGAAATCAAAAACAAATCAATGAGACTGTTTTTGAAACATTAACTTCTGATTTTATTTCTTCTTCATCCTCAATCAGATATCAACAATTCGGTTCGATTCGACTCAGATGAATCGAATCGAATAGAGTCATATCGAGGAGAGAATCGAACCGAATTCATTTTTCCCGATTCGAGTCCCATTAATGTCCGAATTATCATCTCGACCCCTATTTTTACTATATTCAACTAAACACGTTATCTCAATCTATTCGAATACTTATAAGATTCAATCGGTAGTTACAAATGGTTAGTCGAATTATCACGGAGTATCGTAGTGTTTTTCCTATTAACAATGAATAATACGAAATTTCTCACATAATTCAGTAAAATGAATGTCGTATGGAGCTTGTTGCTTTTCTAGCTAGTGAAAATCGCACATATTCTCAGTTAGTATTGCCCAAGTCAAAAACAATTCTTGACTGCACGACTATAGGTGAAACTAGAAGTAAAAACGCTACAGTGCTTCGTCCAGGCAACATTCAAAAAACGCTTGTTAACATGAACGATTTGATTTGCAATAAATCGGATTCCTCCGTTCCATATACATTTTAATTCACAAGATTCCGGGCAAATAGGAAGGAAATTGTATTTCACCTTGATCAATGATACTGTATAAATAAAAATCCAAACTAAATCGAATCGAATTCTATTCCAGAAAAAGTAGTCCGAATCGGATCTGATATATAAGTTAAATGATAAGAAATTACCAAAGACCTTTTCTTTCGAAAACAGAGCAAAAAAAAATAATTGGCGAAGTCATTGTCATTCGTCATCGTAACCGTACCACCAATTTGTTACTTGTTTGCAGACCCATCTGAGAGTTACTGTACCAAGACCAATACAAATCAAAGACAGACTAACAACCAACAAGATTCTTGTTCATAACGACAACGAACATAATTTAATCAATTCTTCATAAATATTCGCGTATAATGATGATATTGCAGATACAAATCACAGCATCAACATGGCTAAAATAATTTAAATAAAACCCTCAAATAAAAAGCTACTAAATCGGTATATAGTGTGAGATAATAAGATATGGGTTGTGTGTAAGCAAGAAAAAAATCAATATTCATTAAAAAGCACAATCACACAAAACAAATAAAAATGTTGCAGTAAATAGAAGAGATTAGTTTGAAGCATTTTGCAAATACGATTTTATTAGACTTTAAATAAGACAGACACAAAATTGAATTTTTACATGATGATCATGTTAATGATTACTGATTTTTCTTAGGAGTACGGCCAGATGATGGAGGCCATAACAAATCTATTGTTCAAAAAAGACAAAATAAGTCAATGTTTCTTAATTCTTTCTCTGTTTTGTTTCAAAAAACTGATTAGATCTTAATGATAAATAGTAATGAAAAAATTTACTTCCAAGTGTAGATAAGAAGTGGTTCCATGTGATTGATGATGATGATGATGATGATGATTGTGATGATCGTTGACGAGGAGCTAAAAAGTTACAATCAGTACAATGTGAAGTTCTTTTGTGTTTACTTACAACGAGCATCATACGCTTTATACACTGCGTTGTCGCTCCAAATGCCATTTGGTGCTAAGAAATTCCCATTATCATCTTTTTCCACTCTATAATGGCAAATTCTTAATGTGCTGCAGTAGAGTTTTCACTATCCCATGAGTTTTTTTCGTTCGAATTGGTGTCCACACGTGTTTAAACAACGAAATAGTAGAAACGCATTTCTACTATTTCGTTGGTTCACTCGTTTCGACATCGTTTCGAACGAAAAAAACTCATAGAATATATTTAACAACATACACAGCCCAATAATTCGAACGATTTATTCTAAATAAGAATACTGTAGCATTTGGAAAGAGCTGATTGAATGTGTCACTAGATATTGTACCATCAGATTCAATCGGCACTCTGATAATCAATTCACCGTTGTCGATTCTAACATAGGACATTCTTTGAACTTTATCTGAAAGGAGATAGAAAATGAACATATTTTATTTGCACCCTACAGCAATTAACCATTTCTCAGTTTCTGGTAGAATCTCAAAGTTTTTTTTATAATATTAGTCATTCAGATTATTCAGAGTATAGGTTACACATGACCGACATTCGCACTCTCACCTCAATTTTACTCTCAAGAAATGTTTTTCTTAAATCAAGATTCGAAAGAATATACTCTATTATCCTAGATTGCTACAGGGTTTTCATCAAACGCAATCACTTCTGGGGTCATTCTAAATAGAAAAAAAAATGCCAAAATGATATCAATTGATTAAAAAATAATAGAAACCAATAAGATGTTTCAATAAAAGTATTTTTTCGTCCAATTATTCGATGAAAGTGAGCTGATACACGAAAATCAACTAATTTAACTTTAACATTTTCAGTTAATAGAACATTCTTTAAATAATAGAAGTAAATAAATAAATAAATTCATTATTAAATCCCACTTGTTTCATGATATATCTATTAATTATTTTATTTAAATGAAGATGATTTAGACCATTAAGAGTTTCTTTACTAATATAAGATATCCATTCTTCTTTTAAAGAATTTCTTTTTGTTGATTTAACTAAATGTGTGATTGATCCAACATCACAATATTCCATAACCAACTTTAAAAGAAAAAAAAATATTTCATTTATGAAAATATTAAATAATAATAATCCATAATTGATCATATCCATTTCGTCCTGAAAAAGATTTATTAATAAATCCTGCATAATACATTGCAATATTTTGATGATTTGAATATCTTTAAAAAAATAAGATTTTATATTTAAAAAAAATTAATTTCCAACTTTTTTAAAAATATTAACGTCTGATTTGATTTCTTCTCCTTGACCCTAAGAACAACAACAAAAAAAATTATGATTACATAAAAAAATATATTCATAACTAACTTCTGTAACATCCATAACTTTAATTGAAACCAATTGACTTGTTTTTGTAAGACGATCCTTTTAAAAGAATAAAAAATAAAAGAAACAAAACAAAACAATTAAAAATAACTTTATAAACTTGTTCATATCTTCCATTCTCAACAACTTTGATCAATTCAAAGATTCTAGATGGATCCTTAAAACCAATTTTATTCGATTAAAATAAATAAATTAAGTCTATATAGATTATTTACTCGAAGTTGATTAAGATCAAGTTCAAAATGATTTTTATTCATTGAACTTAACAAATATTGTATCTGTTCTTTTCTTCTTCTTTTAATTTACAATCTTTTCTTCGATCAGCCATTAGCATTATCGATTGCCAAATTCCATCATCTTATAGAGCTGTCACTCAACAACATGAATTTTACTTATTCTTAAGCACATTCTACAACAATCTTTTTTTTTACTTCTCATTATCGTTTCCTTTCTCTATTTTAATGTTATTAAATATTCTTAATGTTCTCATTTATTTTTTCGTAAATTCTAACAATGAAAGGGTGTGTACCAGTGTTTCTAATGGAAATCTAAAATAAAATGTACAGTGCATGCTGTTTTAAATGAGCAAAATGTACATTTACACTTGTTTTCATGAGCAAAGTGTACAAAATGTACGGTGTTTACGCCGCATATTATTAAAAAAAACAGGACCATCTACGAACGATGTTCAGATAAAGAAGGAAAGGGAGAGGTCTTGCGAACTGGACAGATATAGGAGTTCCTTGGGGCTCCTACTCGCGGACATTTTCCTTGTACATTTAGAAAAACAGCTCATGTCTCAGCTACCAACTCATGGTCTTATAGTCTGGAAAAGATACGTGGACGATACTTTTGCCATCATCAGCGAAACTACTGATCCGACACTTCTGTTAAACATATAAAATTCGTTTCATTGAGCAAAACAATGTACAATAGAATTTGAATTTTGTCATACTCTTTCTTTTCTAGATGTAAATATTAAGCATCTTACATCACTCGCTACTCATTCAAATTCATATTTTGAAACAACCATCTTTCGTAAGACTACATATAGTAGACTGCTGACCAAGTTTTCATCGTTCATACCTATAGAATACAAAGAGAGCACCATTAGGATATGTTCGACTTTCTGTCTTTTAAATAAGGAATCACAATTTACTGGGCGTGTATCACCAACAAATGATTACCCGTTGAATTTCATCGACCAACAAATTTGCTTCACACTCGACAGATATATTATCGGATAGAAAAAACCAATAGCAACAGCTTCTGCCACAAATTCATTAACAACTACTCTTCAAACAGATATTTCGACAACAACAAGTTCTGCTACAGATTCTCCATCATTAACACTAAAACAACAGTCTACAAAAAAGGAAACTCTACTCGTTGATATCTCGTATGTAGATAGATCAATTGTGGTTTTAGGAAAAAAGTTGGTTAAGATTCGGCCTGAAATAAAGCTTCAATCGATTCCAAGACCTACACCAGCAATTCAAGATCTTTTTCCTCTAAAATAAAATCCTATTCCAAAGGATCTTCAATCTCATCTAGTCTATCAAATAAAATGTCAAGATGTGATGCCACGTATATCGGCAAAACAATTCGTCAAGCAGCCCGACGACACCACGAACTACTGTATAATCAATCTACTTATGCTACATGCAACTCTTAATCAAAATTTGCTTCTCCAACAACTTGCCGACGATTCAATCGTCTAAAAACTGTGAAAGTGCATAATTACTCCATCTTGGATCAATCGTTCATAACAAAAGCTCTACCAAAAGTCCTAACATAAAATCTGCTCTTCATGATTTTGAAAACAGCATGGATCTAAAATAAGTTGGAGTAAATGGCGAATTTTTCCCAAAGTTCCACATCCATACAAGTTACCAATCCGCGAACAATTAGCAATACAACAATATCAAGCTACACTCAATAGAACAGCTACATCTTCTCCACTCATAATATACCCAGAAGGGCTCAAAATATCAAAATCGACTGTCAAGATTAAAGGTAGCAATACATAATACATCATCGACTTGGCGTTGTTATTTATCAGAACGTTCTAATAAATAACTAATTGATATATATATATATATAGGTCTGATGACTCATTATTCTATAATGTATTTCAATGAATATATATATATAAAGGGTATTCCAAAAGTTCATCGGGATGGTTAATGCAAATGTCTCTTACACAATTCAAGAGAGGTAATTGTTTTTTTAAAATATGTTATTACATTCTTTTAAGTTTTGTTGCGTATATTTTGTGATAAATTTGCTGCCTATAAATATTAGAATAAAAATAGTCTCGTTAATAGTCAAATTTGAGTCACCTATCATTGCGAGAGGAAAAATGCAAGTCGTTAACGAAAAAGATTCACAAGATCGAATTGAAGTTATATCGTTTTATACTAATATTAGCAAATATTAAAAAATCGAAGGACTTCGTTCTTTTCTCAGATGAAATCTCTTCTTATTAATATGATTTATCGGTAAATATAAAAGTGAAACGCAAGATATGTAAGACATATATCAAGTTCTAGTTGTATTCAAAATGAAAATTGATAATAGAAATTAATAAATTCAAAAATAAACTTTCAGCAGTATTTCTTTTTGAATTTCGAAAATGATGGGTTTATATATTCCAGTTGATGGTTATTATTTTGAATATTTGTATTAAACTCAATTATATAAAATAAAACTTTAAAGAATACTACTAATATATTTCAAAAAAAACTCAATTAAATTGTTTGAATTATATAAAAGATATTTACGTTAATTTTCCCGATGGACTTTTGGGATACCCTATATATTTGTAATTCTCTTATTCTTTCTTTTCTGTCTTGACAATGACTGTATAAAGAAGTCGGAACATCAACATTAAAAAAAATTCTTTTTGTTCAATAAATCAAGTTTTACTAAAATATGTTTATCACTGCTGTTAAATCAATAATTTTCAAATTAAAAACAAAATGTTATATTAATACGGAAATATCAACTATTTTCAATGAAATAATTACTTGTAGGAACAATTCATAATTACCATTAGATTTAATTAATTCAAGAAATATTTGTCTTTAGTTATGAAAGGAATATTATTTCGAGAGATCATTCTTAATTTAGTTTATTATACATTCACATTTGATAAATTTTTTTGTCTGAAAAAAACCTGTAATCGAAATTTGATGTATTAGAATTTCATTTTTCATAGTCACTATTCCATAGGGATCTAAAATGACATAAGTGCTATCAATAATTTAATATTGTCTCTAGTCATATTATTCTTCGCAATGTTCTCATTTCTGGTATGGAAGGATAATGTCAATAAGAATAGAAGGAAAACCCATATTAAAAAAAACTTCTCGCTCAATAATATATTTAATCGAATGTAATTATTCAAAATGTAATAGAGTAAATGTTATTTTTGAAAAGAATAATATGTCGAAAATTGTTTATATTAAATAAAAAAAAAAAAAGAATGAAGATCTCTTTTAAAATTATTATCGAAATAAAATTGTGTGACTATTGACGGAATGAAATCGGCGTCAATGTCTCCGTTTTATTATATAAAATAAGGTAAATACTTCCTACGTTAGCACGTGTGTCTGTCAATTGTTGTCAATCATCTGTCGGCGGCATTTGAAAACTTTTGTTTGATTATAATCACGTTCATGTCAACAGAAGACAAGTAATGGCTTTTTATTATTTGTTCAAAGATAATTGTCCTTCAAATATATATTCTTAGACTTACTTCCGAGTGTTATTAATTGCTGTCTCAATAAGTGAAAGAAACTTCTTTTTCCGTTTGAAAAAAAAAAAACTACTAGTTGTTTTTCTTTTTACTAAGAAAGTTTATTCTAAACGATAATAATTAATAAAACATAAAATCGATTTTTTTTTGTGCTCGGTAGACTAAAAAAATAATCAGTACTCGAATTATCTCTTAATCCTTCTTATTCATTTCTCTTTTGTTTAATATAAAAGATCAGTCAGATGAACATAAATCGTTTCATATAAAATCAATATTATTCTTAGTTAACATACATTCAACATATGTTCATTGAATATTTTTATCGGAAATATTCTTCGATTGAATCTTTTTCAATTATAAATAGACGGATTTTTTTTTTGATTCTGAAAAATTTATTTAGTCATTAAATCGTAGATGTGACTAATTATTTTTTTACAAGATTATTCTGTTATTTATTGTGATAAGACGAAAAGAATAAAAAAAAAAAACTGTTGTAATAAGAAGAATTACGTAATTAGATTCATATTTAAATAATTGATTATGTCATGAAAAGAAAAATTCTTTTTTTTACAGTTTGTTTTGATCGATCAAGCAACAAGAGGATGCAAATGAAAAAATTAATTATTAACTAAAATAAATTGACAAAAAGAAAATGTATTTTTTATTTTTTGTTTCAAATATTTTTCGAAACAATAGTATACTTTACATATCATGTAGATTATATATGATATTATATTTCCATTGAATAATCTAATTTTCATTGAACATTGAAATGAAGTTCATTTCTCCAAAGAGCTTTTCCTTTTTCTTAGTGACACGTTGTTAGTCATAATCATAAATCTAAATAATCTCAACACACAATGGGCATAATACTATGACGTAAGAATAATGAATACCTTTGTTGCATTGATAATGCATAAGAATTCTTTTTTTTTTTGTATTCATATCTACTGTCTGTGACGATTACCAAGGTTAATGATCTATGCATATGAACCAGAAAATTAAATTGTGATATATGTTTTATGCCATTAGCATATTCTCAATGGCACACAAATAGAACAATTATATATCGAAAATAACAATTTTTATTGTAGTTAACTAATGTTTGAAAACAATTTTACTTTTAATTGAATATTTCATTATATATTTTATCTTAGAAAAAGAACATCAAATTAATATTTATTTTTTTGCAAACAGATAATAAAAAAAAAAGCGAAAGTTCAACATATATGTTTATTCACCGGATATGTTAATGACACTGAGTAAATGACTTCGATATATAATAATAATTCAATAATTTGTTTTTCACACTAGCCAAATCCAATAGATGAATGAACTGAGTAGCCACCACCACCACCACCACCATGAACAATTCTTTTTTATTGAATTTGATAAAAGATTTTTACTTGATTCTAAATTTTATTTTATTTTTTTAAATCAAATAAAGAAAAAACAATTTGTTTTTATTAGGTAAATTCTTACGAGTTGTTGTTTTCG